AAAAGCCTGGTCTAAATCTAGATTGTGTTTGTGCAGAAGTTTTGGATTGCTCTTGATTCTGTGAAGAGTGGTGTGTTGTGAACCTGAAGGTGGTGCACATCAGTTAGTGGTGGTGGGAGTGAAAGTAGCAGTCAGATTTCCCATTGAAAATAATCAAAGTGCAAAAGCAGACAGCATGAATGCAAACTTCTAATAGAAGAGAGATTTAATGTCCTTGGGTATAATTGCTTGCAAGCCAGTACTGTTCTGGAGAGAGTTGTTTTTAATGGTTAAATTATACAACACATTCTAAAATTGGTCATTCTGCATAATGTATTGTTGAACCTGTAGATCTTGCTGCAGACCAAATTGTTTATCTTTGTAGACATCAGTCAAAACCAAAACAGTCACATAAGAATAAACTGGAATGTTTTTCAGAAGCACAGGTTGTCAGCTGGCAAATTCGAGGGCAGCTAAACACCTCTGGGATTTCTCTCTGTGTCATTGTAGGCAAATTAAACAGGTTAAAGCTTAACGTTCCAGGGCACTCACCAACAGCAAATGGACTCAGATTACTGGTTTTAACAAAAATGGACTAACCTGGTTCTAGTTTTACCACAAAATGACTTAAAGGAATCTTCAGTTTTATAAATGTCTCCCATAGGTTTGATCTAACTCTGATTTTTTGTTAATAAAAAGAAACTGAGGGCTTTTAGTGAGATCTGCTGCTTGCTTGGGGGAAATAACACATACGAAGCTTCCCAGTTACAAAGTTCACAATGCCTCCTCTGTAGAAATAGAGGCGTCTCTAGTGAGTCTCCATGTTAGTGGTCTCCCTGACCATCTTGGCCTCAGGATCAAAGGGTGACTTTTTTTTTTCATTTCTTTTTTCAAGGAATGCTCAAGGTATTGTAAGAGAATCAGTATTTCAGACATTTCTTCCAGCGCTGTTCTGCATGGTCCGCCAATCACATGGAATCTCTTGAGCTCATTCGAGGTTCACTGACTCATGCGGATTTCACTAAGCATCTTCATGCTTGTTAATTAGCTCAATAAATTAATCAGAAGTTGTGGTACAAAGCAAAACCCAAGCCAAGCAGCAAGATTTTGAGCAATGGAATGAGACTGGATTCACTTTTAAGAAAACTCCTTGGTTCTTCAGTTGCCCATGAATGTAGCTGAGAGGTTGGTGTTTGCCACAACTCGTGTCTCAGGCTGTGCACACGTATAAGCTCCATTGGCGTAGATGGGGGAAACTGAGGCAAAAAGCAAGCACTGCCTGCCTGCGTTCATGGAGAAGCTGTGGGTCAGAACATTGCTCACAGTTCTCTCCTTGTGCTGCTTATTGCACGTCCCTCAGGTCATTTCTGCCTTTCTCATCAGATCTGGCAGTGCTGCAGAGCTGCCTGCTTGCTAAATCTCACTGCATCAACACTTAAAATGACTGATTAAAGAAATATTAATGCCACAGAAGTAGTATGGTTAGAGACCGTGGCCAAAAAATCAGTGAAGTATAGAAATTATTTATATATTTTCCATGCACACTTGTTCTCTCAGTTCGTGAACTGCTCTCAAAGCCCTAGGTATAATACAGACAGTCCATGTTTCCTTACCTGGACATTTACTTTGTTTTGCTCCTTGTTGGATATGTTTTTGTCCTTAGCAGTGGAAAATAGAGTTGAAACCTCTCTTTCTCAGTTGAATAAAACAACAATATGAGAAATGCCAGTGGCCTGATAAAGTCTTTGAATAAAGCTGTAGCCAATCTCTATTTAAAACACTCAGAGGAGTCATTACATTATTCGCAAGCCACTTTTTAAGTTTGGCACATGTTATGTTGTGCTCTTTTACGATGTATAAAAAAGTCTTTTCGCTTCTCTAGCTTTTCCTTTAGCTTCTTCTGCCTTGATTACTTCCATACGTGGAGGGTGTTTCACAGTCACCTGTGCAGCAGTGCGAGAGGGCGGCCAGTCTAGGAATGCATCTTCCCACCACCCCCATCACCAGCACCAAGGCTTGTTCCACTGCCTGATGATTTCTGGCAAATTATTAGATCTGGATCAAAATTAACTTAGCAAGACCCTACAAATGTAATGTTTGGATCTGCTCTGCTGTATCAAGTGACTGCATGAGCGCTGGAGCCGGTGCTGAGGAAGAAGACTTTGGGAGCAAAAGGCAGCCTTTTAGAGGCAGCTCGGTGAGATTGGCTTATATTCATTTGACCCTCGCAAAGCGATGGATTCGTGAAAGTCGGGAACAGGAAAACTTGACAATCAAGAGGAAACAAAAATGTGTGTCAGTCTGCATTTGGATATTTTATCTGGTTTTGTCAGATAAACACTCTGCAACATAGAATTTTAGTAATGAAGATAGTGCTGAAGATAATATAATGCACTAAAAAGTCCATTTGACATTTGAAACTATGTCATATTTCAATGGTCTTGATACTTTGGGCAATAAATAAAAAAGCCCTATAAATCAAAGATCATAACAGAGCCAGAAGAAACATTTTTAGCCTTCTTTTTCATTACAGAAAGCGCAAAATGTTACCCATCCACAAATAATTCCTTATCAGCTCACTTTGTATAAGAGAGCAGGAACTGGTGCACACTTTGGTCACTTGTCCTCTATTGGGTGCTGTGGGTCAGTACAGAGCACTGTGGCCGCTAACAAGGGAGTGTAACCTGTTTTGGTGATCCTAAATTCTTGGTGAGGACAACACCCCAGTGGAAGGTGCAGGTAACTGGTTTTGTGGCTGAAAGTCATGCACAACTTCCTGTGGTAGTGCAACCCCTGAGGTCCTTTCCCAATCCCGTTTCCATAAATCTCTCCCATTGCTTGTAGAAGTGTCCAGGGCTTTGCTGTTAGTAAGACTGTCCTCTTCAAAATGTAACGTTTATCACCTACTTCAGGTGATAGCCTGCTTTAGCATAGGGAGCGCAAAAGTGGAGGAGATGGCTGTGATTTGGTGATTTAGATCAAAGCTGAAACACTGAGTTGACAGCATTGTTGGATGATGATGATTGTTGTTGTTGTTGTTATTATTATTATTTGTTGTTGTTTAACCCACTTGTACAGATCTAAGCACTCTTACAAGTGTGTGAGAATGGTGATCCTCGGCAATAAGCATCTGAATGAGTATGTGCAAATGCGCTGCTCTGGTCTGTGGTCAAAATGGTTCTTGAAGTAGTTGTGCCTTTTGACTTGAGAAGAAGGCTCTAAGTAGGCACTGGGAGATAAATGACAATGTTTGCTTTGTCTGTTTGACATTTTTTGTGCCACAGTTGTTCTTGAACGTTGTTACATGGAAAGGATATAATTGGAGTAAAATATTATAGGGGAACAGCAATGATAATGGTGCTTAGATTCTTTCATCTTTTTATGAAGTCACTTTTTAAAAATGCTGATCATTGAGCAGTGAAAAGAGCTGGAAATCTTGCAAGGAATGCAAAGAAATAAAACCTGGCACAGGGAAAGACTTTCAGTACAATATGAATGTTGATCCTTTAAAATCACAAATCATCTTTCTATTAATGCACTGTAGAATAAGGTCTCCTCAAGATAAGACTCGGCAGTGCTGTGGAGTTGGTATTTAAAGTATGTCCATCTGCATCTAAACGAGTAGCTCCAAGACAATCAGATTATGCAGTAGTTACTTTGGTGAGAATATCGCCTAAGTGGAATGGAAACTTCATTTTGAGTCTAATATTAGACCCTGCTTTGGAAAATTCCTTTTAAATGATCACAAGCTGGGAATAGCAAAAGAATTTAACTTTCGACGGACAGCATTCACCAAGAATTTGTTTTTAACTGCTTATGTTGGGTCCCTGGGAAAGCAGATGTGAAAAACTTACCGAAGTGAATTGACTTGACCTGATGCAATGTTTATATCAGTAGTTGATAAGTTTTCCTCCCTCGGCTAATTTGTTCAGGATATTTTCATTCTTTAAGCATGAGTAAGTCTGGGTTGGAATAGTTTGAATGCTTGTTAGTCTAATAATCTGGTTCTTAAAACATGCAGACATCATTGCCTGTAAAGGGGTCTAAGCAAAGTTGAACTATTTTGGTTATCTTCCGTGGATGGGGATATTATTTTTGACACTAGCAAAGAAGAATGTGAGACAATGTTGCTTACATCCTGATAGTTCAGAAAGCATGTTGATACCTGCTGCATTTCTGCTTCAAAATGCCACTTGTATTTGGTGAACCCTTTGCATGCGTATTACGTTTTATGCAGCTTTACAAAGGACCGGCTTTCAATAGCAGCTAGAGAAACTAGGGTATCAAAGCAGATTTGCAGGGTTGTGGTATTATTATTATTCCTGTGACAGAAAGGGCTTTAGGAGTTACAGAATACACTGTGAATGATGCACAGATCAGGGATCTTTAGAGCTGCTGGTGTATCTCATCTTGGCTTTTCTCTTTGTTGATCACACACTGTCACTTTGAATAATTAATTAATTCCTAAATAGGCCCCATACTCTGTATGGAGCATGTCTAAATAAATTATTTTGGGGGGAGGGAGGAGAAAAAGAGAAACTCACAGATTGGGCTGACCTCTTGTCCTCAGCTCTGCCCTGTCCATGTGCTTCTGTGGTTTGGCCATGGTTGGTGTTGTTTCCAAGCTTGAGAGCATCCAACAGGAGCTCGCTGCAAAGGAGGGCTCCAGCCTGGCCTTCATCTGCCAGTGCTTGAGACGAGAAGTGGAGCAGCCATCAACAAGATAAGACAATTAATTCAACACCAGTTTCACTTAGAAATACATTAGTAAGAGAACACTGATCTCTTTAGCCATACTCCTTTACTGCATTAGGTGGATTCATGTGACCCAGGAGTGCTTTTCTTGGACAGAAATCAGATGATGATTTTAAGCATCTGTTAAACTTTGCCTCTTTTTTCATGAAGTCTGACACCAACCTTTTTGTCTTTTTATTTATACCTGTGTGTCTGTAATTCTGCTATAATTTCTGATCTTTCAGGAATTTCTAAAATGTCTAAATTGCCAATCTGTATCCTTGCAGGCAAGTCTCACCTGGCTGTAGTGCAAAGAGTAAACAATGAAGGAGAAGGAGATCCTTTTTATGAAGTCCTGGGAATTGTCACTTTAGAAGATGTGATTGAAGAAATCATCAAGTCTGAAATTCTGGATGAAACAGATATATACAGTGAGTAGAAATATTTGCACTTTATTTTTAGATGAGAGGGAAGACTCCATCCAGCAGTGATTGTGTTTAATAGCTGTGTTTGAGAGGTGTTAAGTTACTGATTTAAAAACTCAGTGGTCAAATGACCTGTAGATCCCTCAGAGAGTCAAAATTATTTTCATTTTTGCAGCATGGGCACCTCACCCTTTTATGGTGTGTTAATTCAGAAACAGGACAGTTTTATTTATTTGACCCTTCCATCAAGAAGTTTTACCTCTGCAACAACCCGGTCTCTCCTGCTCGCTGTTCTCCACCACAGAGGCCTTGTTGAACCTTTTTGTTACAGTGCTCATGACCTCCCATGTTTTCTCCAACCTTTCTCCACCTCAAGGGCCTGTAGTCCATGTATGACCCTATTTTAGGAAAAAGGCAGGCAAATACCATGCCTCAAGGAATGGGAATGGAGTCCCTTTAAAGTCTATCTCTATCACTCATTCAGAAAAGCACGGAAGTCTTCTTCAGGGCTGAAAACCAGTATGTCCTAAATGCCTCCTCTTTTTATAACTCAGTGCAGCTCCTTTGTGTTAACATGTCCTGAGGGAGATGATGCTGCAGGTCAGCCGTTACCTGGGACCTAGGAGATCTGGACTCTTTTCTTTCCCAGTTTAGAGTTTGTTCTGTGCCCAGTTACCTACAGTGTCTTTGCCTCTTCCCATCTGCACAATCTTTCTGTGCATGTGGGTCTTCCTTTCTGTCATTCTTCATCTGTCTTATCTGTGGTTTGATCACTTGCTGGCAGATGCTATTTTTTTTGCTGTGTTTGTGTGTAGCACAAGAATGTCTCTAGATTCTATTGTAATAGAAATAGTAATTTTACATATTATTAACACTGTTCAGCTGTTTTTTTATTTCTTTCCTCATGAAAGGGATCTGAATGTTTCTGCAGCATCTTTTTCAGGCCAATGCAAACATCTTCTATGCTCTCTCCAAGCCACATGCCAAACAAGCACTTTACACTGTGGGACAGACATACTTCTACTCCTTTCCTAATAGATTGTTACTGCCTGAACTACTTTCTGTAGTTGGTCAGTATTTTACCAGTATTTGTGTGCCCAAAGGTTCATGTAAATCACAATTGTGATTACATAGTCTAATTACCATGCAAATCACAGAGGTCCAGTTAGTATTGATTTCTTTTCATATCTTCACAAATGAATTGTTGGGCTAATAAGTTACAACATTTAGAGAAGTAATTGAGACTTTCTTTTATACTCCAAAAAGATCCTGTCTTTGTCTCATCACTGGTGAGATGCTTCTATGTTTCTACAAGTGAAAAGGCATTGCGTATGCTTTTCAGTGAGGTTTTTTTTTTTTCCTTTGTTTGTTGCGAGAAACCACATAGATCATGCTGTGTTGTCCTTCAGGACAAAAAAAGCTTTGACCATTAATAGCATGTTCAAGGGCAAGGAAATGAGAATTTAATTTTACTGTCTGAAGACTTCCTAGATTAACAACTTGGTGAACATGAGTTCATTTGAAACTCTCCTTCCTGAGAAGATTTTACTGTGGAAAATTCCTGGTCAGAACAGGAGGGAAACCTCACTTCCTAGGCTTCCTGGAAGATGCAGGAAATTTTGGGAGATGACTCCTGCTATGTACCATGAAGATGAACTTCTGTTTTTTTTATGAAGCACTGAAGTTCATTCCATTGTTTAGATTGAAGGAAACTCTATCAATAAGGGAGAGAGCTGAAATCCAGAGGAGCTGCAAAGATCACAGAAAACATGATAGGTTTTGGATTTGGGAAGATCGATGTGCTGTAACCACTTCCAATTGGTGTAGTGGTGGGAACATGCTTTGGGTTTACTGAGGGTGCTTTATTTTCCATGATATGTTGAGGTAGCTCGTTTTTGGTGTTGATATCAGTGTGTCAGTGCTAGTAACCTCATCTAGTACTAGAGGTCTCTGATGCTCTTCATTATGGACCAGGCGATCTTTAAAGGTCCCTTCCAACCCAATACATTCTATAAGACCAAGCTGGCTTGCTCTGCTCAGATCAAGCCAACTTGAAACCTTTGGACTGATTTGCTCTATGCTAGGTGTTTACTTAAAGTAGACCTTAGGAAAAATATTGGCAGCATTGTTACGAAGTTTTAAAAACTTTTGTTTGTTCTGCTTTGGTGGAAACTTGAAATTTGATTAAATGGCTGACCTCGGTGTTGGAGCTATGCCTTTCTGCTGTTTGCATGAAAATCCATTTGAACTGTGTTAGAGTAGAAGCAATTGTACATTTATAGTTTTTGCTGAAAGCTGCTCTCACTGCTGTAGCTCTGCAGCTGAATTTCTTGAGGGGTGTGTGCTGATAAATGTGTGGTATTTCCTCAGGTTTTCTAGTCTGCTATGTCTTTTGGCTTGTAGAGATGCTGGGAGTGCGGAGAAGATGGAAGCAGGAAAAATTGTTAAATATGTCTGACCTATCAACATCTGGATAAACTGAGTACTTCTGAGCATGAGGCTTTGTACTGGGGAGGCTGATGGGGTGGAGAGAGGAGGTTTCTGTCACGGCACAGGTGGGCTCTGCATCTCAGCCAGTGTCATGATGAGGAGCTCTCAGTATTGGAAAGTTGGAGCACTTTCTCATGGCTGACACACTCAGGAATACGTCCTGCACTTCCATGGCCCTAGTCGTGGTGGGAGAGCAGAAAGCTGCATGTTCTGCATTGGCTTCAGAACGCAGAGTCCACCTGAGAAACATGAAGTTCACCGTCCTGACCTGGGTTTGGCTGGTGACCTGTCTTATTTAGCTCTTTCTAATTGAAGAGGAGTTTAATCACCCGCTTTCTGCTACTGGAATGCTGCTCTTTTGCACGCATACTGATTCAGAGAGGGTTTGCCCCGTGTAAAATCTGGGATTTTTTGTACAAATGAAATACCTTAACACACCCTTGTGCATGTGTTCCAAATGTTTCAGATAAATTATCTGGTTGTAAGCATTTTTACATCTTCACCCATGTGCTGTCTCAGTGAATGTGACCCCTGGCAAGCCCGTGCAGCTGGGGCATTCAGCACCAGGCCATGGGGCACAGGAGTTCTTACAGAGCTGCACTGAAATAGCTTTCGCCTAATGATGATTTTTTTCAGCCTGGGCAAGTCACTTCCCTGAGGGGAAGACCACATCTTACCCCAGCATTCCTATTTCCAAACACCTGTCAAAAGAAGTATGTTAAATATATGTGCTAGTCAACTCTGTCACTTCTCCCATTTAGACCACAGAGCTGTGGGAATAAAGTTGTTTTCCTTAATAAGTATTTCCACTGTCATTCAGTGTAGCAACATAGTTTGCACAGTTGTGCAGCACCGATTTGCCTGGTAGGATCTACAGATGTTGGCATGGTGCACATCAGTATCCAATGCCAAGAGAGCAGATCTTTGTGTAGCTGGAGACCAGTCTTTAGATATACCAAGGTTTTTGCCATCCATTAGCAAGTGATGTTTTTATCTTGTTGGCCATTAGGACTGTGGGCTTGCTAACCTGCTGTCTAGCACTGGTAGACTACCGGAGCTGCGTCCTTATGGGAAGCTATTTTAGGCTGTTTTAGAGCTTTGGATTTAGTCATGCTGACTTTCTGTCAGTTGCCAAAATGTACATGAAACACAGGGCAACCTAGTTTTCCGAACTAGGGACAAAAAAACCTGACAAAACTAGCTTAGTTAATTCCTGAATCTTTCTTTTAAGATGGAACAAACTCACAGGCTTAAAAAGACCCATGCAGTGTGCAGGGCATAGGCTGCCAGCCTGGGTGTGTGTATCACTGGGAGGTGAGGGAGAAGAGGACGTGGGGTGTGTGCTGAGGGAGACTCTGCTGGGCACCTATCCCTGACTGCCTTGGGCTGAGCATCCTGGTACTGAGCGTGGGCACAGCGTCAGTGGGTCTTGTCCTCTGGGACTTGCACTTTCTTATCCTGGAGTATCTGATGGATGCAGATCTCTAACAGTTGCTTGTCTCTGTCCTTGTGCAGTTCTTGTGTGCCAGACAGAACCACACTTCCACTTGATATAACATTTTTGTCCCTGTTCTCTTGTCTGGAGCTCACTGCAGATGTCTGTTCTGTCCCAAAGACGTGAAGACAAAAAGGAGCGCAGGAAGCAAGCAAGAGCCTTCCCAAAACGTTGTCTGGGTGCATTTGGAGTGCCAAGCAGCCTGCTCTACCTGAATGAACAAGTGGTCTGAGGTTTGAACTCCGTGTTCTGTAGCTGTCTCCAGTCCAAGCTGGCTCCTTCAAGGAAATTTGTGCAATAATTTGTGGTTTTCTGCATCAGGCCTGGAAGTTCAGGAATATTACAGGAGAGATCACAACCTCACTTGTATTTGGACCCATCCTCTTCTTGAGTTCTCTCCCTCAAGCACAGGAGCTCACATTCAGCCTTGCTGCCTTTAATTTGAAGGAAAAGTCTAAATATTCATAGAACCACAGAATGGTTTTGGTTGGAAAAGACCTTTAAAATCACCAAGTCCCAGAACCTACAGAAGATAGTTGCAGTATTTGTTGATATTTCACCAAAAGTCACACTGAGGGTATCCCTCATGCATCATATTGCTCGTGTTGCAGAAACAGTGTCACAGCACTCTGTAAGCAGAGATCACTTCAGCATGCCAAGATAACTTCGGTGCCCAAGTTTTCTCCTAATTTACTGTAGAAAGGACAGACAGGAAATAGCTGGTTCAGATTCAGTTACTTCTGTCACCATCCAATCCTTGGTTCCTGTGTCTTACAAGAAGCTCAGAAGTTGTTTGGGTAGCAAAGAACAATTAAGACCATTCCTTACAAAAATAAGCCAAGATGATGGCTTCAAGCCATATGGCTCTGCTCTCACTGTGTAACATTTTTCTTGGGGGAAGGCTTCTGTTCAAGCTGCCAAGAAAACAATAGGAAGAATTGAAATCCTGCATCACTTGATTAAGAGCCTCGGTCTCTTACCTTGGTGACTGATGCAGGTAGAAAGATTTAAGACATCCTCCTGGTGTGATGCTGGCCCTGTATTCAGGTACCAGAAGTGCACTCTGAAGCCTGTGGTGGTACGGCTCATTCATAGGAGAAATACTGCTGCTTTACTGCCCTGCTGAAGAGACATTTCCCTGTACCAAGGCCAAAACTTGTGGTGATTTTTGCCTCACTGAAGAGAGCAATGATGAAGCTCCTTGTGGAAAAGCATCTCAGCCACGGCTTTGTAAAAAACAACATTCTCTAAGCTGTTCAGAAAAAGCACAGTTTCTGTTCTTCTTATTTCTTACAAGAGGTAGGACCTAGTGAGAGGATGTACCCTTGGGCCCCTCAGTTCAAGAAGGACAGGCAATTGCTTGAAAGAGTCCAGTGCAGAGCCACAAAGATGATGGAGGGCGTGGAGCATCCACCTTATGAGGAGCGGCTGAGGGAGCTGGGTCTCTTTAGCTTGGAGAAGAGGAGACTGAGGGGTGACCTCGTTCATGTTTATAAATTTGTAAAGGGCGAGTGTCAGGAGAAAGGAGCCAGGCTCTTCTCTGTGATGTCCAATGACAGGACAAGGGGCAATGGGAGCAAGCTGGAGCACAGAAGTTTCAACCTGAACATGAGGAAAAAATTCTTTACTGTGAGGGTGACAGAGCACTGAACAGGCTGCCCAGAGAGGTTGTGGAGTCTCCTTCTCTGGAGACATTCAAAACCCACCTGGACGCATTCCTGTGTGACCTGGTCTAGGCGATCCTGCTCTGGCAGGGGGGTTGGAGTGGATGATCTTTTGAGGTCCCTTCCAACTCCTAATATTCTGTGATTCTGTGAATCTGAGAGCTTCTGGGGGACTTTTCTCCTATTCACTTTCTGTTGCTTTAGTATCCATCTTTCCTTTAACTGCTAGTACAGATAAGGTCTGTCTCAGAATATATTCCTGAGACAGTGATTGTTTTTAGCCTGTAACCAGTCCCTTGGGTTGTTTCTGTTCTCGCTTTTTGGAAGAGAAAATGCAATCCCTGCTTAGTCATCCAGGTCCTGGGTAAAGTAGTACTAGGGTAAGAAGCTTGTGATTTTGAAGTGGAAAAAGGGCATGGATCATCGCTGTTCTTTTCCATGTGCTTGGGAACAAGTATTTCCAATTTTCTAATTTGCACTGACCACAGAATGAGCTTTAGCTATCCTGAGTATGTACATTACTGTCAGGACAGTATTGCTGTTGAGTCTGTGATGGTCCTATAGTGGCTTGGAGGTTTGTCCATGGGGAGTTGGGGGTCTAAATGTATTCATAGCTGAAAGGCTAGTTGGCTTGGGAAAATCTTTCTAGAAACCTGTTACCAGTACTGTGCATTTCCAAGCTACAGACTCAACTGTGCTGAGCCTTAAGTAGTCTGGAGCGTATATTTGGACACCTACAGGACTCTACATCTCAGTGGCTTCTTTGCTATGGTACATCACTTAAACCATCCTTGCATGCATAACCCAAAATCTGGTAACCTCTCATCTGGGAGTGTGTGTGATGTTTCACAGCCTTAGCTTCACCTACACCTCTTTGTGTGTTTGCCTGATTTCTCTGCAATGAGTCAATGCACCAGCACTGCCTGTGGTCCCTCAAAAGTCCAGTCACTTTAAACCAGTGACTGGAGGTCTGATAGACAAGTAGCAGTCGTGTTTTCAATATCATTCGCCACTAAGGCCCTTGAACCCGAGTCATGTCTTGTGTCTGAGAGGCTCACAGTAGTTGCTTCAAGATTCAGATTTCCTGCAACATGCAGTGAAGCTCAGAGCTATCTGACAGCGTTCTGCAGCTTATGGCCCATGCCACCTTACATAGTGCATCAGCAGAGAAGACCATGAACCTGCCATCTGAGCAGAGACCTCTTCTCCCTGGAACTTATATGTATCATACCCCAACATGCCTGTAGCCCTCTGCTTGCCCAGTTTCCTAGATATTTTGGCAGATTAGCTCAGCAGGTGGATAGTGATAGCTGAGTTGGTTGTGCCTCTGCAACTCCGTCTTTTGTGCTGTCTCTCACCAATGGTGATTTCCCCACCACAGAGCCTGTTTTAAGACACAGGTGAACTAAGTGGCAAGTATTTAGCTGAGTGAAGGACAGGAGTCCAGGATCACTAGCAGGCCAATTCCCATATCTTAGCACATGAAGTTACCCTGTACTTAATTATGGCCTCGGTGCCTGTAAAGCAGCCAGAGATTTCCACCCCCAGGCTGTACACCTTGCTAGTCTTTGCTCAAGTTTGGACAGGACAGAGGAAACTGCACACACTAGGCATTGGGAGTTATTTGGACCAAAGACATGCGGATTTTGCCCAGCTGTGAAGAGTCAGTGAAGCCATGGTACAGTGTAAGAAATAAGTCATTGTATATTTAGTCTGTGTACCTGCTGAGAATTTTCTAAGGAGTGTATATGAAAAAAGAGGTTATCACAGATATTCTTGTAGAACAATTCCTTTTGATCATAAGTAACACTGAGCAGGACTCCTCCTCCCCACCCAGAAATGCGCACGCACCTTGTGTGTGATATGCGGAGCCACTCTGCAATTTGATGTTTGTAAGCGGAGTCTTTCCCCCTGTTGAAGTGGCAGGGACTGTGGGTGCGTGCCTCTGCAGGACAGGGACTCACAGCAGGGTGAGCCCGCAGCACAACTCTCTGGTTGTTTCTGGTTGTGCTGCGTGACCATGAGCAGGACTTTGTGCGTCCTGCAGAGGAGTCTGTGCCCTTGGTGCTCTTGGTGGCTGTCCCAGCTGACTCCATCCAGCGCGGTTCGTGTTGGACCCTGTTCTAACAGAAATCGCTTCCTTCCTCTCTTTTCCTACCCTCCCTTCCCCAGCTGATAACAAGTCGAAAAAGAAAGTAGCTCATCGGGACAGGAAGCAGGACTTCTCTGCCTTCAAGCAGACAGACAGCGAGATGAAGGTTAAAATATCGCCGCAGCTCCTCCTGGCAACGCACCGGTTCCTGGCAACAGGCAAGTGCGGGTTATCTTCTTTTGCGATTGTGCCAGAGCCTCGGAGGCAGTTTGTCAGCAAAGGCCGGTGAGGTGGGTAGGACAGTGCAGGCGGGAAGGGAGGCTGGATTGTGGGGTGACAAATAATGCCACTGTTGTGTTTTTCTTTTTAAATTCTCTCCTCTCCTGTGTTCAGTGTCGGCATGAACCCTCTGAGACATTTACCAGGGGTGGACCAGTAACTTTAAATTGGTCTGAAAGGTAAGGATGAATGCCAAGTGCCGCACTGCATGTCTAGAGTCCGTCAGATTAACGACTAGCAAGTACACCCCATTAGGAAGAGCTCAGGGAACAAACCAAAGAGGACTCGATACCACTGGCCAGCTGACTGTAATTGCACTCTGGCGCCTTCTCCAGAAAGAGATGCTGGACTTTTTGCAGGAATGTGTAAACCTGTTCCATGAGGCTTTTGACTCCAAGTAAAAAACTCTCCCGACACATTTAATGCAGCCTGCGCAGGCGGTTGAACTGTACTTTTAAAATGGATTTCTGGCTGGCTTGTGTGATCTCCACTGATGACTTCAGGTTTCAGAGGACAGTTGTCTCCAACCCACAACACCTTGATGTTTTAGCCCTCGGGTGGGCAGTCTGACAGAGAGACCAGGGCCTTGAATGGTTTCTTGCAGCTGACATTGCCTTTCATCGTAAAGTTGGTCCCATCACCTCAGAGATGAGACCTGTTAATGGGAGAGCCTGCGGAAAACATACCCTCCTATTGCTCGTGCTGTCTCTCTTTCACACATAAAGACTTCTCGCACGCAGGCCTTTCAGACGGGCATCTTTCACTGCTAAGTTCAACATATATTCATGGGTTGAAAATGATAAAAGGTGTTCTGTCTCAAGTTTGACAGCTCCAGTTGGAAATTAGTACTTCCCCTCCTCTAAGATGCAGTAACTGCCTGCCTAAATGCTTCTAGTCCACCTTCATGCTCTGTTTTGCCTCTGTGACTTAAGAGAGACATGTATGTGATGGGTTATCACATCTCAGCTGAGGGGCAGTAAACACCTTAAAAGGCCTGAACTCCAACGGCTCATGTGCGTGTGAGCATGTCCATGGTGAAAAGAAGCAGTTCAACAGGAAGATGCGGATTTAACAGCAAGCAAGGCGTTGGTCATGTAGTGGTACAAGAGTTGATGGAGTTCCCCAAACACCTGCTCTACAGACATAGTCTTACAGTGCTGCTTCTCTGCTTGTTCTGTGGATTAAAGAATGGTGTATCTTAAATCCAGGTCTGGCTCTGAAGGCACAGCTATATAAGATGAAAGCTACAGTTCTGGTTTCTCTGTTCTAAATTGAGAATAATATCTTTAGCAGATGAAAGGTACTGGGTCATTACTGGTTCTGTTCTGCAACGAGATGTTAGGAAAGCTTATCAGTTTGCATGTGTAAATCTTGACATCCCTGGCCTAACTCTCCCACACGAGAAGGAGCTTTTTCACATCCAACAGCTCCTGCTGGAAGCACTGAAGAGCAAATGGGTAGGGGATGTGTTCTGTGTGTCAGGCATTAATCCCCTGTGGTTTGAACTGACCTGCATTGTCTCTCACTTTGAGTAACTCTTCCCATATGAACTCTGGCAGCCCCAATTGTGTCTTTGATTTATGTAGAGCATCTATCTAGAGCAACTTTCTAGGCCCCAAACAGTGATTTTTAATTTACATTTTTTTAGAAGCGCAGTAAATGCAGTAACTTCAATACTTTTTGAGGAAGGAGAAAACAAATTCAGAGGTTTTCTGGGCCCCAGTTATAAAGCTCTTCCATTTATACAATTCTCCAATAAACCTATACAGCTGTGACTTTGAACTCTCAAGAGGGCAAGACTGCCTTTTTCTTTTTTCTTTCAGATGAAGACATGGGTTTTGGTTGTTTTGAATAATACTTAAGTAATAAAAGTTGAGGTGTTCCTGGTTTCCCCCCTTCCCTTACAAATCTAACAGTCTCAAAGTACAGGAAGCCTGCAATTCCATAATGGATCTCTCTGCATCTGTGTGTCTTTTCTAATAAAGCAAATGCTTATTAACGAATATTGCTAGCTTATTGCCAGGCATATGAAGTGTAATGCCAAGTTGTATCTTGTGTTGTAGAAGTAGAAGCCTTTGCTCCAACCCAGATGTCAGAGAAGATCCTTCTCAGGCTGCTAAAACATCCCAATGTCATCCAGGAGCTGAAGTACGACGAGAAGAACAAGAAAGCCCCAGAACACTACCTCTACCAGCGAAACAAGCCCGTTGACTACTTTGTTCTCATTTTACAGGTCAGACATTTGATTACGTAGATATGTGCAAAATCATGCATCTACCAGCGTACCCCTCTCTATACCTCTTCCAGTTGTTGAAGTTTGTCTTCTTTCAAGCATTGGGATGGAGCTACAGCTCCTGGAAACTGCTTCTGCCTCCTTTATTGAAGAGCTCACATGGGTGCTTTCAGCCTCAGTTAAACTCAGTTAAAGTGGAGGGTAGACAGCACTTCCCACTTCCAGTCGTCTGCTGAAACTTATTTATGCTTTAGGTATCACTAGGATAGGCAAGGCAAAGGTATCCCCATGTACAGCTGGCAGCGCGTGGAAAACAGGGGTACAAAAAGTGGCACGTCATGGGAGTGTGGCCAGGATGCTTTCTTTAATGCAGTTTTTCCTTTTGCAAAAGGAGGCATGGGAAGTTTTACTGTTAAGAGAAGTTACATTTTTTGATGCAATTTTGAAGTCTGTAACTGGTGTTTTGAGAAGCGCGGGCTTTGATGGAGGCGTTGTGCCATCTACTGAACTGCTGCCACCTCCTGCTGCAGCCCCTGCGGTTCCTGGGCACCCTGCCGTCCAAGCTGTCCAAGCACTTGCCCTGCCCCGAAATCGCTGCATTCGGGTGGTTTTTGGATTGGAGCCCTAGGTGGTCCAAAAGGACTATTTTCTACTTATTCGGTACAGGGTTGCTTCCAGTGCTGATATCTCCCAGGTTTTATTACATGGCAGGAATACTTGAATAGGTAGCAAGAGCTTTACACAGAAACTTAGCTTCATTTACACAGAAACTAGCTCCATTTGAGCAGGAACAGCCCTTTAAGAGAGACTTTGCTGAAAAATTGCTCATGTTTCTGTCCTAGATAACTGAAGTCAGTTTTGGTTATAAAAACACAAGCATCATAGCTAAAGTAGTAACACAAGGCTTGAAATTTTCCTTAGGATGGCCTTAAAAAAAAAAAAAGGAAAAGGGTTTTAACAATGTCATGATAAAGAATGAAGAAAGCACTGGAACACAATGCTATGAATTCAACATACTCCTCTTAAAAAAGGGTTTATTTTTATAAAGTGTTTGAGGAGCCACTGGTAGCTCTTTGCTCATTCTTATATGCTGAATTGTTGCAATCTGAAATATTCCAGAGGCAAGATAATGCTCCTGCATGAGGTAATGCTGCAAAGATGTAAACGGAGGACATGTGCGATACAAAAGAACAATCAGTTCTTTCTGAGCTATTCTTCAATCAATAAATATTTAGCAACAACAACGTGCTGGCTCTGTAATGCATTTGGAAAAGTGAGTCTTGCAGTAGGTACATACTATAAAAATGGTAACAAGATTGGTTCTGCAAGGATCAAGAGGATATAAATATTCTGCTTTTCTTACTTAAATGGTCCTGGACTTATTCTTGGTCTCTTGATGTAAGAGAATATCTTCACAGTAAAAGCATGCCAGACCACAAGTAAATATATATTCTATGCATTACATTTACTAATTTAATCTCTGTTGAGTTACTATTTTAGCTGGAATGTTTAAACAGCTGGAATTAAAAACAGTTTTTCTATTAGCTAACGGGAAGGTCTTCTGTAGCAGTTTGAGAATTAGTTTTGTCACTAAACAGTGAAAGCCAGAAGCCATACACGCATGCATTTAAACAGGGTGAGCACGTCTGGTAGCACGCATGAGGCATTATTATCAGCTTTTCAGCTGCCATGCCTATGCCAAGCACGCCTGGTCTTCATGTGGGAAGAGCTTCCTTGGGAAGTGTGGAGGTGCTGCGTGACAAAATCGTACCTTTTGGAAAGCTTATAATGAAAAAAATAAGCCACTTATTTGTGTTGTGAAGTGAAATTGGTTTTAAAAGGGATTATATGAAGGTGTTGCTTGTGATAGCAGGAAGGTAGACTTGTGAGCTAGGCACTTTCCCTGCTAGGTATATTTTGTAGTTTTTCCTCATCTGGGGTGGTTAGACAAACTGACCTGGTATCAGGTCTCAAGCAGGCTGAGATAATTTTCATGTTTCTCTGCCTCAGTACACTGCTGTAAAGTTAAAGGCATGTTTGGTTATTTAAAGTAGCACTTAATGCTATAAACACATAGAAATACCTTTTGGGCTCATTTTGACTCAGTTGTGTCCAGTTAATGTTATTTCTGCCTACTAGTATACCAAAGTAACTGTGGTATTTACAGCTGTGTTTGATATGGTGGCTTCTGTTCTAGACTCCGTTGTAGGATATTGGCACGTGATGCTAAACATTTGGCTCATCCCATATCAGAAACGAGTGCACTTGTGTGGTAGTGTAGTTTTGTATTGCTTGGGAAGCACTGAGGGTCCTTCTAGGCAAGACCCTATGAAAGAGCAGGATTTGAGTTAAGGGTGCTGGAATATGGAAAACCACTAGACAACAAGAAAACCAAAGTATCCCCAAGACCGTTCCTTCAGGAATGAGGGCTTTGTTTCTGTGGGAATCTCATAGGTGAAGGCAGACGGCTGTAACCCAGAACATTTAGATGTCTCAAGACCCCAAATGACTGTGCTATGTACAAGCTTGTTGTAATATTGGAGGAGTGTTTTTTTCACTCTGTGTTGAGGGAAAGCAGCCTGGCAGCACTTGGAACAGGGCAGTAGTACCACCCGGAAGCACTGTGGTGATCCTTATGCTGGCCACAGGGCACCAAAGACCAGGAAAGCTCAGGGAACAAGAGTGTGTTGCCCTCCAGGATCTGCCCCTGTTCAGGCACCGTTACAAACTGCAGGGACCATGACAGTGCTTAGGAACATCAGGCAAAACTAGCTTTTGGGGCTCAAGTCTGGCCTTGTGCCTCGAGAACCACAGTCCCTTTTAATTGCAGCTCTCTCTCCTTTTCCTTAACAGGGGAAAGTGGAAGTGGAGGCTGGGAAAGAGGGGATGAAGTTTGAAGCTGGTGCTTTTGACCACTATGGGGTGATGGCCCTCACAGCATCACCAGGTACGTCCTTACCTTCTGCTTCTGGAGCACGCTCCTGCACAAGCCTGCCCATCCTGTGAGCAGGACGGGAGGAGGCTGCGCAGGGCATCCCCCTGCCGTGTCTGTGGGGCTAATGTCCACGACACCTCCTTGCCAGTGAAGCTGCCCGCCTGGCACAGTCTCCCTGGCAGGGACTGGCTCTGACTCCAAAACCCAGCGGCTGGCAGCGGTTTGCCAGCTCCAGGAGGGTGTGAGCATTGCCCTTAGCGAGTGACGTGCTTGGTACTGCAGGATAGCTTTGTAGTTTTGCGCATGGAAAGGTAACGGGGATTGAATTAATGGGGAGAAATAATTAGTGACAGAGGGACATCTAGTGGTGCAAAGTACAAATGCCCGGTTTGAGGATGGTTCTCTTTACCAGCCTTGTATCTAAAGCTGTCTTGAGGAAAAGGAGGGCAGCAGTTCAAAAAACCCAATTGCTTCTGTCAGCCAGTTCCCAGAGCACAAGCAGTAGCCACACAAACCACTGCCTCACAGGCGCAAGTTGGGGGATTGTCTTACAATCCGCCATGAGTTGGCTCCAGTGCTGTATTTCAGCATTTGGTGATGTATTTCAGTGCCAGCAGCATCACCACTAAGATCTCCATCTCAGCTGGTAGTCCACAGCCCTGATGGGACTGGCGTGGGCCTTCTGCTGTCCCAGAGCCGCTTGCTCAGCTCCAGGGAGAGAGGTTTCTCATGCTGAAACTGAGGCCTCCTGTCACAGCAGGATCTGTGTTCCACTTTTAATTCTACACTCATGAGCACTCCCTTTACATATGTGTACTTATGTGTATGTACTTTAGCAAACAGCATTGGAATGAAAATGATTTTGTAAGTTACCCTTGTTAAACAGACAACAGCAGTTCTCTTGGACATGTGAGCTCAGTTTTACAGGCAAGACTAATTCTTCCTTAACTATAGGCACTTTAATTTGATCAGTCTAGCTTATACCTTTTGAGGCTTGACAGATTTGGAAGCGTGCAGAGCACTGGGTGGTTTTTATCTTGGTGATAGCAGTGGAGTTCACAAGGAATCGTGACAGATGCGTGTACAACTGCATTGTACCCTCAGCTTCGCAGCTCAGCTTTTGCCGTATGTGCCAGGCACAGAGCTTGGAAATCACTTGTGGCATCTCTTTTTTGCCAGCATTGTTCAGTTTGGATGTTTTCATGTGTTGTTTTTTTCATGTTGCTAACCCTCCCTACAACTGTGCCAGTTGCCCCAAATCCTGTGAGGTGAAATAATCTCTTTGCATGCCCTGAAATCCATCTTGGATTTTGTCATGCCAAACTTAAGGATATGCACTATTTTAAGTGCATTATTCTTAGAGGATTTGTTTTATGTTGTCTTGCAGCATCCTGAGATTTCTGTTAGGATGAGCTCCTAAATATAAAGTAATTCCTGTTGCTCTGTGTAGACAGGAAAGCTCAGTAAAAGTATAAGTCATTGCAGAACAAGAGAAAACTCCTGCTTTTCTGTGTCTCCTATTAGATTTCATGTGCCCGCTCTCCCTACCTGGAACGTGAAGTCAGTAATAGGAGAGAAACACATTAAAAAGAAATAAACTAACAAAACCAGCCCCAAACCAACAAAACCCTCCAAAAAACCCCAGACCAAACAAAAATCCAACAAGAGTGAAGATTTGTTCTTTAACTGCAGCTGGGGAGGGATTTGCAGTACCGATGAGCAGTACGGTTACCCATCCTGACAGAGATAAGCTTGGGCAATCACAACTTTGCTTGATATTTTACTGAAAACTTAAAGAACTATGAAGTGCCTTTATGTTTTATTTCTGTTTTTGTCTGTCTCCCATAAGGAGCAGCACCCGTGAAAGCTTTCTGGCTTGTTTTAACTTTTTTAACTCTTTTTAAAACTGAGTGTGTCTTGATGGACTGTTCTGTGCTGGATAACCAGTCAAATTAGCAAGTGAAAGTTGTTCACTTCACTGTATTTTCTTAGACTTGTGTTTTGGTTTATTCCTCTGCATAGATTTTTGAGTTTTTAATCTCTGTTGGGGGTTGGGGCGGGGTTGGCCACTAAATCCTGGGTAGATGCTCTCTATTAACCCCTCTCCCTCCCCAGAAAGGGAAGAGAAAGAGAATAAGGGAGAGAGACTTATGGGTTGGAAAAGAAAACTAACAGATTGAATGAAACAATAATAATAACGCTACAAGATAATAATGTAAATAGGAAAATAATAAATATATACAAAACCGGATTCAGGAACTGGATTCAAGAAGGCATGGGTCAGGATCGAAGGCAGATGAACTGGCAGGGTTCCACTTGGACATTGGCCATGGTAGAAAAAGAGGAAGAAGAGAGCTTGACCCTCCAGATCCCTCCGCTTTATACTGAGTATGACGTACATGGGATGGAGTACCTTTTTGGTCAGTTTTGGATCATCTGTCCTGTCCACTCCTCCCTGCAGGTGCGACACCTCATTTATGACACCCCAGTACAGCACCCATTTTGGGGCTGTGGCCTTGGTCTCTATAAGCAAGGCCTCTATTTACATACCGTACCTAATAGTAACTATCAGCATCAAGCACTATCAGCTTATGTAGAAATGAACACTGCCTGGAAAAACATGCTGTTAGTTTCAGAAAGTACAGTCACTTAGAAGAGACTTAACTGAAAAGTAAAATCACTGAATAGAAAATCAGTTCTATTTAGCTCAAACCGGGACCATTTCTAAAATTGTCTTTTTTTACTTTTGCTTTTGTTTTAATCCTTTTCCACAGTTGATTTGCATCTTTGGTTTTAGTCCTTCAGTGTGTGAACTGGCTCCTTCCCCTCTCGAGTGTGGATAGCTGCTGCCTTTCTGGCCGTGATCTCATCCTTTTTCTCTCCCTCTTCTAGTTCCCTTGTCCCTGTCTCGTACCTTTGCTGTCAGCAGAGCAGAGTTGTTAGCAGCAGGTTCTCCAGGTAAATCCGCATGCTTCTATTTTCACCATTCCTGTGACTGCCCTGATGCCATAAAAAGTCAGCTGCAGTCTGTATTTATCTGACCCCTTTGCTTGGTAGGGAGAAGTCCAGCACAGAGTTATGCCTCACAGGTGGGTATCCCGAACTTTCATTTATGGTAACTGGTAGCAACATGGCAGAATCATCAAAATGGGAAGGACCAAAAACACATTGAAGAAAATGTATTTGGTAATGTGTGCTTGTTCTTATTTCTCATATGTTACGCTGGTGGACAACTAGGAGGAAAGACTTTTTAAAAAGAAGGTATTCTCCCCCAAGCTGAGGCTTAAAAAAATCTGTGAAGAAAATGCATTTGGCAGAGGAGAAGCCATAAAAGGAAAACTTCCTTAATGAAAGAATTCAGCCTGGCCATGTCAGTTCCTGAAAAGCTTTACACTTTCTCTCAGTGAGGTTGGTGCTGTGGACTGGCACAGGATTTACTGAGAGGATGGATTTGCAATGGAATGTGCACGGAGGTTGTGGGACCTCCTGTGGGGTTTTCTGGTGCCCATTTTGTTTAAGACCTTTCTTGCTGAATGACCAAGTTGATTGACACAGAAATCCCTTTGGAGAGCAAAGACCAAGGAGGGAACAAATTGGGCCAAAAAGAGCTCTGAGATGTGGTCGAGTGGTTGGGAACTGGGAAGGGTCAAGAATTTAGTTTTGAGATACTGCATGCACAGCATAGATTAGAAAAATGGAAACCCATCAAGAAAGTCTGTAGGAAAGGCAGAATCCTCACATAGTTTGGGCCATGCTGAGCGTATTTCTTCTTTTTGAAGGGTTTTTTTTTTTCAGATGAAGTGTGTCTTTCTCTAGACCTAAAAGCAAACAAGATAACTATATGCATATTCAAGTGAAATGTTTCCTAAACATTAGTATGTTTCATCCATTTAATAAACTTTCACCATCTGCTTCCTGTATTTTTCCTCTCTTCTTTTTTTTTCACTTTTGGAAATGAGTTTCACCATCAGTCCTTAAATGAGCCTCATGCACATTCCAAACAAACTACAGGTTGTTGCCCTGCAGGGGATTTTTTTCCTGCCCTGTAAAGTTTCCTGCTGCTGAACTTCAAAGAAGGGGGAGAAATTTAATCTTTCTTTAATTAAAGTACCTGATGGCTTTCTTCTAAGCTCGGCAGCTTTATCTCTTTTAGCTCTTTTTGTTCCTTTGTTTTGCCAGGTCTTCCTTTCTTTTTTTTCATTTTCCTTGCTCCAAATAAGTGTACTTTTTGCACATGCAAGTTGGTTCCAGTATACATGCCAAACATTTTTTCCTAGCTTTTTCTCCAACTGAAAAAAAAATCAGTAATAGAAAATAAAAATGGGAAGAATCTCCTTGAAAAGGAAATGATATGGTAAGCCTGGTCACTGTGACAGTAGTTTTGATGAAACTCAAAAGTTTCTTCTGGGTCCTTCTAAAATGGATCCTGTTGTTTAACCCCAAATTCATAATACAGTGTTTTGATGTTTCTCTTGTGGATTGTGCTCGTGATCCCCTGTATAGGAAGGTGAGGAGTATGGGAAATCCTGGGTAGAAGAGATCTGTGCAGATCTCGGCTGGGCTGCTCAGGGTCTGGCAGGGCGCTGTTCTGCAAACACGGACCTGCTGTCGTCTGCCTTTCTGTGTCCTTTATCTTCATTAACTTCTCCTCTTCTTCCCTGGCTTGTACGTGGTCCAGAAGTGATGTCCTTTCCCTCAGATTTTTTCGTAATCATACTTTTTTTGTTCTGTCCTTTCACCTTTTTTTTTCCCCTTAATATATGCTTTGTCATGTTGCTCTCTGTCCTGCTTTGTTTTTTATTAGTAATGTACTATAAGACCCTTGGAGAACAGAAAGAGCAGATACAAGTCACACTCGTGTGAAGCTGTTCCAGATGGAAACCCTTATCCCAAGCAGAAGTGATGCTGCTCTTGTCACACACAGCTGTATTTTGTGTATGCACGTGGGAAAAGCAGTACAGATTGACTCAGCTTTCACACTGCCTTGTTCTCCAGTGCGAATCACAGCATCGAGCCCTGTGTGCAGACAGAAGTTTGGCTCCTGGCAGCAGTTATTGCAGCCTGCTGTGGCTTTCAAGATGGCAAGTTGGTGCGGAGGAAAACTTTACAGGGCTCCAAATGCTTCCCCCTAAGCCTGTACTTGATGTTACCATAGGGTCCTGCACTAATTCCATAGTGCAGAAATGGCAGAAAAATTGCCAAGTTGTCAGAACCTGTATTCTTCTGTTCCCTTTTCTAAAATTCAAGGAAAGATAACATCAGAGGGATTTTAAGTGGGGAATAAAAACCAGGGCAATTCTGCTATGCATCTAGAAGCATCTAAAGTGTTAGGTTTAGGAAAGACTGGATGCAGAGATGTAGAACACGCTGTGTCATTTGGGCAACTAGAGGTTATATTTGTAGTGTTTAAGTGGCAGAGTTAGGGTTGAATTTTAGGGAGCTTTTTTATTAGACATAAGTTTATATATGGAAAAGTCTTCCAAAAAGAAATTGAAAAACTTGCAAAGATACTGTTGCTGATTTGCTTGAAGAGACTTCTTGTGTCTTAAGATGATATGAAAGTAGTCTTTTAGCTAAGAATAGGAGTCCTGTGGTGAGTAGCACAGTTTACATCAAGTTTTGGTTTGGGCTGGCTGGATGAAATTTAACCGTGCCAAAGACAGGTCTTTGATGGGTATGTACTGTGTGTGCACCCAGGGAGAAGCCCGTCTGCAGAAGGCCTTGGGACCTCTATTGGGATGCATCTCTGCCCTCCTGTCTTCAGGGCCACTGTGTGGATGGAAGCCAGGGATGGCTGAAAGCTCCTTTACTTGAGCTAAACCATGGCCAGTCACATTCGCACGGGACAGCTGTGAGATTTTTGAATGAAACCCTGCAGTGTTTGAAGGGAACTCATAGAAAATGATGTCTCTAGTTTCCTCCTTTCCTGAACACAGATTTTTCTCTGTAGCATGGGCTGTTTTCCCTGTTTTGCTGGCTAGCATGTACCACATGGAGCTTGCTCTCCTTCATTGAGTCTTTTTACTCCTTCAAGCACTGGAATGTACTAGAGGAAATTTTATTGAAGTAACCATCGCATGGGCTGCACTCTGGTTCACTGAGGACTCTGTCACTCTTATGATTTTGAAAATGTCTCCTCTGACTCTGGGAACAAGGCATCTGTAGGTACCAGGTGGAATAAAAAGGAGTAAGGGTTAGCTGGGACTGACTGTGGATGAAAGAAATGAAAAAAAGTCCATTAAACTTGGTTGACTATCAAAAGCTCCATTAGGGAAGTCTTGCCTTTCTCTGCTTGTTATCCCTCATCAGCTGAAGCACTGGGGCCAGCTCTGCACAGGGCATGGCCATTGCAGCACAAACAAAACCAGGTTTGTTTAAGGTATACTCAGGGATGTTGGCTACCAGCACTGGAGTCAAAATGTACTATTTTTCAAGGTAATTTGGTTGTTAGCTGCGTGTCTAGTTATGAGTAGATTAAATATTTGCAGTTCTTTTGTGCTACCTCACGATTTATTATGTCCCTTTGAAACTGGTGACTTTAAATGTTATCTACTTGATTTAAGAAATCTCTCACTCTTGCCCATTTCTCAGCTGAAAACAAGTCTCCACCTCGGCCCTGCGGCTTGAATCACTCAGACTCTTTAAACCGAAGTGATCGCATCGAGGCAGTGACACCAACGTTAGGGAGCAGCAACAACCAGCTGAATGCGACATTCCTCCAAATGTATGTTCCGGACTACTCAGTGAAAGCAGCCACAGACATTCAGTTTGTCAAGGTAGGAACAAAACTGGAAAGGCCCTGCTGGAAAGCTGGGCTTGACTGATAAGATGATAAGCCTGGGGAAGGGAGCTCCCTCTGTGAGGGATCTAGAGTGGTCTGTGAGTAAATAGGATTATGAAAGCCGCCGCTTAAAAGTCACTTTAAACTACTTTTTCCCCAGTATCTGCTGTCCAGTGATTTGTCTTCACTGTTCCTCTCATTTAGGCTTGTAAGTACATTGGTTACATCAGTTTCTGGATTTCAGGCCCCTCAAGGAAAGATTATCGAAAATAACCTCTTTCTGCCTTTAGTAACGAAAGACGTATCCATGTGAAGCCTTTGGAGCTATCCGAAATGGAGACCCTTCATTATCAGACAGTGTCTTTTTCTAAAGGATGAGACATTTTCTGTTGGTTGCAGGTTTTAGTCACTTTTGATTTTGGTTCCAGTTTGGGGTTCTTGATCTTTCTTTCCGTCTTGTCATCCTTCTTCTGCTCAGAGAAGTCTTGGACATTTCTCTTTATCTTAACTTCACATGTTAGGCTCATGTCTCATACTACCAGTGAGTTGCTGCATGAATACGGCTCTGTCCCCCAGCATGGTGCATCCCACTCTGAAATGTGTGTGAATCCTGTGGAATAGGAAATCTCGCTGACCTGAGGAAAATGCTGGCAGCAATTCCGGCCCAGATGGGAGTCCAGGGAAGCTGACATCCCATGGCCAGAAGTTGACCTTGATGCTTTTCTTAAATGAAGTGCACGTTCACAGTTTCATTATGAACTCAAATGATTTGTGAACTAAACTTCTGTCAAATTTATTTCAATATTAAGAATGCGGAATAGAGTAGAAATACTAGAATGCTAAATTGATTATTCCAAGGCTGAATTTTAAAAGACGAGTACAGTCTTGCATTCAAAACTTGACAGATGCAAGTGTACTGGTTGATGGTTCCAGTCTTCAAGGTTTAGATCAGTAAATGTTTATCACTAGTCAAGTGATTCTCACTCCATATTTCAATGGCCAATCTGCTGTACAGAGCAGCTGCTCATCTTACACTGGTTTATGTGGAGTCCTTCCAGCTCTCACTGTGTTCCTACTAATGAATGCTAAACTGTCTGATGTCCCTGCAGTCAGACTTGCACACCTCTTTTTGCATCACTCTGCTTCACACGTAGTGCTCAACATCAGTGTTTTCACCATGTCACATGGGCATTTGTTCAATTAATACCTTGTAATCCAGGGTTGTGAACTCGGCGTGCATGTTTGCATTTTGCTTTTGGAGTTGTGACCCAGTGCATCTGACTCCTTCCCTTTCCAGTTCCTCTCTTGCATTGCTGCTGAAATGTGTAGTTTTCTAAAAGTCTTGTTTCAACCTCTTCTATCCCCTGCCTGCTGAGATAATCCACTGCTGCTGTAGCACACATGTGCTTCCTGCTGCCTGTCCTGGCTGAGAAGGCTGACCTGGAGAAGTTTACGGGCTGGTTGCTTGTGGCTCCAGGAGGAATGGTCCTCTCTACCACCGCATGCAGATACATGGGGCTGTAGACTTCCTTGCCTCTCGGGCATTGTGGGCAGTGATGCTCTGTGCTCCAGGCCAGCTCCTGTCATGACTCTTCTGCTGAGTGCAGCCAGCTCTTGCAGAGACCTGTGGAAGACTTCATGGGTTGCTAATTTGGACTCATCTCTATGGAGATGCCAGTTTTTCTAGAACTGGATGTCCTTTTGTATCAGAATAAGGCTGCAACTCCTGCTGGATTTGCTGGCCTAAACAAGAGCAGTAATCCTTGTAACCTCTGGCTCTGTAGGGACTCTTAGAGCCCTCACCAGGAGCTCACTGAAGTTGGGAGAAAGACTTCACCGAACTCTGGTTCTGGCCCTAAAAATATGCATGCATAGAAGGAAATGGAAACCTGATTTTTAAAAATCTCTGCATAGTAATAAAACCCTGTCTTGGAAAAGCATGGAGATTGCCCAGCTCTGTGCTTCCACCCTGCCTGGAAATGTCACCATGCCATGGTGTTGAGTTGGGATGCTCTAGGCTTGCAAAGCGCAGGGATGTTTTATAGAAACAGGTAAGAGGGGTTGACGTGTGGTCATCTGGAAAGGGAGGGTGCTTTATTTTCTCAGTGTGTCCCACAGGAGACACAGAAGTGTGACTGGCTGGTTTTGTTCCTTCCTTCTGTGCTTGGAGCAGATCACAAGACAGCAATACCAAAATGCCCTGATGGCATCCCAGATGGACAAAACACCTCAGTCCCTGGACAGTGAAACCACTAAAATCGAACTGACTCTTTCGGAGCTGCATGATGGTTTGCCAGACGAGACGGCAAACCTGCTGAATGAACAGAACTGTGTGACTCACAAGCCCAACCACAGTATGCACAGTGAAGGCGCCATCTAGGAGCTGACTCCCCATGACCCCCCCCGTCCCGTTCTTCCAGTTAAGTTTCAGGGAAGGAATGGTTACTTTGGTATTTAATGTTCTCAAATTTCAGAAGGTTTCTTTGTACAGCAGGCAAAAGTTTTGTTACAATTACAGTTTTGTAACCTCCAAAAACTTTGTGTATGTTGATGATACTGGGGGGGAAGGAGTTAATTAGCAAAACTGCAGTCTCGTGGAATGAAAGCCAGGTGTAATTTTCCATAGTGAAGTAACTGGGTGATTTTTCATTGATGTTCCTGACAATTGCACGGTGAAGTAATGTGTGCACCCCAAAATGACAAGCTTTTAAGCACTCTTTTAAGCACTTCTAAGTGCTGTTGCGGTCTGCACGCCGTTTCCTTGGCCAGAGCAGATGTGCAGTCTTTGCTAAATAACAGAGAACATCAGTCCCTGTCCCCACTTCAGTCTCTAGTATTAACACCAAAAAACGCTGCTACAGTTACGCCCAAAGTACATCCTCCAGGTGACAGTAAACCTCTGCCGGTGCAAGGATGGGCTCTGCAGAGGAGTCGGGACCATCCTGTCCTCTCCGAGAACTGACACAGCTTTCCAGCACAAGTGTATTGCACTTCAGGGATTCAGAGAAGTTGGTTTCCAGGCTGTTTGCAGCCACATTCCTTCCTTTGAGTGGATTCAGTGCATTCCGTTCTCTCTTGCCCCTTTTAACAGCCATTTTAGGGATTACAATTGTAGCAGAGCAGAGAGCCTCTCACCCAGCTGCCGCTAGTACAGGGTGCCCTGTATTGGGCAGCAGAAACCAGTCCCTCCACCCCAAAAACCTGAATGCAGTCTGGGTGCAAGTGAGAGACATCCTGTGGCAGCTGTGCATCACGTGTTACCCACTCCCACTGATGGAGCCCAAGTCCTCAAATGATAAAGAAGTTCCCCTCTCCTGATCCTCTCCCCTTCCAGTGCTGTCTCAAACAAAATGTGAACATTGCCCTCGTTATCTTGACAGATTAATAAATCGGGCATTGTGGTTTCTTTGGTTTGAGACCCTTCCATGGCCCCTGGCTATGTAGCATTTTGCTTCCTCTCTTTACACCTGGATAATCTCACCTGACCCTCAAAGAAGCCCCCAGCCCCAGAGGCAACTGCCAGAGCTCTCTGTGCCTGCCCCATCTCCCCTGCTCATGGGCTGGGGAAGGCACTCGCCGCAAGTTCCTGTCTTTGCAAATGACGGCTGGAAAGGTGCAATATTTTGCTGCAGAATCTCCCCGTAGGAAAGTGGAGTGCATGGCGTCAGAGACGATTGAGTCTGCAGTTGTCTTTCCTCCTCTCTCTTTTGGCTTCAGAAAGCAGCCCTAATTTTTGCTGTCCTCACCGAAAGGTGCACTTCTTCCTTGGAGCCACCCATGAGGATGAAATCTCCACAAGGGGGCATAGAAATTCCACGGTATCAAACTTGTGCACCCAGTGAGGAGGAAACAGGGCCCCCAAAACCTTACACTCACATTTAGCTTTTTATTAACTTTTTTTGAGCCCCATCTAAAAGCGTTTCTTTGGTCTCCATCCCTGCTCTGATGTACACCAGCCCACCACTGCCAGCAGTGCCCAGCTCAGCCCTGGCACAGGCTGTCCTGGTCGTTCCCAGAGAGCTGCCGGTATTGCACCTTTCTCACAAAGCGAAATATGGAGATGTTACAGTGTTCGTTCTCGACAAGGGACTCCTCTCGCCAGTTTTTGTCTAGCGTTGCTGAATGTAAATGTTTGTCGGAAGTGTTTGACACAGTGGTGAACTCGAGATGCAGTATCTGTCTTGTCAGACCTGCTGAAGGAGCGAAGGCTCAAGTCAAGGCAGCTCTCTCTCTGGGATGAAGTTGCTCGCTCAATCTGGCTTCTGCTTCTTATGGCAGGTTATGGATTTGTTTCAGTGTCTGTTTCACTTTTTAAAAAAAAAAAAAAAGACAAAAAAAGCACCAGTTTTTCCAACCAAAGCCATGTGATCCCAAAGCAAATACCTCCTGCTTCTGCCCATGCTGCAGTGTTCCAAAATTTGCAGGCAGTTTTTTCATACAATCATAGAAAGTATTGGGTTGGAATGGGCCCTTTAAAGATCATTCAGTCCAACCCCTCTGCAGTAAGCAGGGACATTGTTACCAGATCAGGTTGCTCTGAGCCCCATCAAGCCTGACCTTGAATATCTCCAGGGATGGGGCCTCCACCACCTCTCTGGGCAACCTGTGCCAGTGATCTACCACCCTCATATTGAAGAACATTTTCCTAATATCCAAGCTAAGTCTACCCTTTTCCAGTTTAAAACCATTACCCCTCATCCTATCTCTACATGCCCCAGTGAATAGCTCTTGCACAGATTTCTTATGGGCACCTTTCAGGTACTGAAATATTGCTATAAGGTTCCCCTGGAGCCTTCTCCAGGCTGAACAACCCCAGCTCGCTCAGTCTGTCTTCATAGGAGAGATGCTCCAGCCGTTTGATCATTTTTGTGGCCCTCCTTTGGACCCCCCTCCAGCACTTCAATATCCTTTTTTTGTTGGGGTCTCCAGAACTGGATGCAGTACTCCAGGTGAGGTCTCGCCAGAGCAGAGCAGAGAAGCAGAATCACCTCCCTTGATCTGCTGGTCACACTTCTTTTGATGCAGCCCAGGATGTGGTTGGCCTTCTGGACTGCAGATACACATTGGTGACTCATGTCCAGCTTCTCATCCACCAGTACCCCCAAGTCCTTTTCCTCAGGGCTGCTTTCCAGCACATCATCTCCTAGCCTGTATCAGTGACAAGGATTGCCCCTACCCAGGTGCACGACCCTGCACTTGGCCTTGTTGAACCTCATGAGGTTCACCTAGGCCCACTTCTCCAGCTTGTCCAGGTCCATCTGGATGGCATCCCTTCCCTCTGGCACATCAACCTCACCACCCAGCTGGGTATCATCAAGCTAGACGTTTTTGCTTGACTGTTTTTCATCATTTGTACAGATCCAATAATGGAAAGTGAAATAATTTCCATAAAAATAGTTGATTATAGATGTGTTCCATATGGAAAATATGTACCTGACCCAGAGGGGGTAGGAGCTGCTACTGCTAATTAGCTTGAAAGGCAAAGCATGGTCCTCTCCCTGGAGGGGAAAAAATCCAGTCTCCCTGTTCTCAGGGTATTTACAGTTTTACTGTTTCACAAATGCAAGGGGTTCCCAGCCCTTGTGGTGGGAACCATCACAAGCAGAGAAGCCCGGCGCCCAGCTCAGGATCACTTCTAGGCCTCCAGACGGCATTTGCCAGCACCAGGGCTTGGCTCTCATGACTACAATGGAGATGCCGTGGCGTCCGAGTCTGTGCCCTTGCAGGGGGTGTCCTGCCAGAGCAGGGCTGCTCTCCCTGCCACACTGGTTGCCCGCCTGCATTCAGGTGGGCCAAGATGCCAGCCATGCGGCAGTGCTGTAAGGACGTGTGGCAGGTCTGCCGGTCATCACTGTGGAGCAGGACACCAGCTGGTGGCTTTGGGAATCATTGGACTTGACCTCAGACCTCAGCAAGGCTTTGACTTGTAGAAAGGATACTGCATCTTCCTATGTCAACTCTTACTGCCGCCTTTGTTGCCCTTGCTTATCTGTCTTGGGGTGCAGGCAGAGGGGCGGCCAGTGGCCCATTGGCCAGGGGAGGCTGGGAGGGCACCTAGCCATGGTTTCTACTGTCAATACAATTTTGCACAAGAGTTCTTTGAAGTGAGGTTTTCAACACTAATATCATAAATGCACAACTGTGAATTATAACTTTTACACTCCTGTTGGTTGAATTTCCTTTAAATGAAATGAACCTGAATCTGTTGTAGTCACAGAATCACAGAATGTTAGAAGTTGG